TAGTTGATCCTGCCTTCTTCAGCCAGAATGTTGATGGTCTCTCGTATTTTCACCGTATACAGCCAGCCTTTCTGCCAATTAACAGTAGATTTCGTGTTCAGCTATTTCGGATCTTTCCGGATCCATGCTCTTACAGAGTCTTTGATGTTCCTTGATTCGTATGTCGATTTTCCTTCCTGTTTCACCAATATCCTTCTCCTCACAGTTGCCGAATTTGATGCGAAAAACTCCCGAAAAATCCAGTCTCTCAGTCTTTTCTTTTTGCGTCGGCATGTTGGTGAGAGTGCTGTCTCCTCCTTTGTTCTCATCGTGATATTCCAGTGTCTTAGTAACAGTCGCAATTTTCGGCTCAGTTTGCACGAGGGCAAGCATATCCACTCTTTGTCATCCTCCCGATTCCTGATCTTATTTTCATAACATCCGAATTGAAACCTACTCTTTAGGACGCCTAGATTTCTTTCTATCTATTCTCTGGGATACTCGTTACTTAGGCAACTTCAAATCAGTTTGTCCAACTCTTCCTCCCAGAACTCAGTGTCCTTTTCTTTTTAGCTTCTAATGATTAAACTCTTCAGTACTCAGATCTTCAATCTGTAGTTATGGTGATACTAAAAATTAAGGAATATTCCGGCATAGAATTTTTTTCTGGATAGTCTTCTCATGAGTGTCCCGTTGGAGCAAATTACTTCAATATCCAGAGGGGTAGTCGTTTATCCTCCTCCGCCTCCAATATGAATTTAATTTGGTCATGATATTGGTTAATATGATTAAGAAATTAATTCAAATTTTCCCTACCATGCGACCAAAGTGCAAAGTAGTCACCCAAGTTTCACACTAGCACTCTTAGTTGCAGTGGTAGTTCTCGCATTTCCTTTCCAATTTGTCCATGTCTACATTTGCCAAAATAGGTGAGAATGTAGATCCCATTGGTAGTCCAAATATTTATTCGTAGATACTGCCGTTAAATGTAAAATATGTGATCCTTAGTTTCAGCTCGATCAGTCGTGTTAACGACTCCTTCTTTATCCACTCTGCCTCCAGAATAACCTCTTCTCGCTTTAATATCTCCAGCAGGGCTCTTGCCACCTCCTCGCCTCAGATGTTTGTGGGCCTAGATTGTATGTCGAAAGTTTTCAACAGTTCCATCCCAATCAGCCCAATGTCTTGGATCCTTTGACAAAATTCATATGATTTCGTCACGGTACTTGAGAGTCTGTCATTTACTTTCATGAACTTCAAGAAAATGGATTTCGCTAACTTTTGTGTTTCTCCATGCTTGTTGTTGACTCTTACTTTTAGCGGTTCTTCTTCCATGTGTATTTTCGGAAGTTCGTAGGCTGTCAATGGTGTTGCGTCATTTTTAATTATAGAGTTTATCATCCATCTGTCGATTTCTGCCTTTTTTTTATGCATTTACTTTAGCCCCGTTGATCTTCACGTTTGGATTTTTTCTTACTATTTAATAGGTGTTCCGGTCGCCTAGGCTACTATCCATTTTCTAGGGGTTCTGTTTCCTGTCTATCACCACTGATTTAAACAAGCTCTTCAGCTGAATTCACTTCCTTTATGAGAACTTCACTGGAATAATTGTTGTGAATACTTCCATTTCGAATGAGAGTGTTTGGGGAAGAGATTCGAAGGTCATCTCCAACAGAAGACGAAGGCGGACGCCTCTTGACCAGTTGTTGATTGGCTTTACTGAAATATTCATGCTGACGCTGTTTCCAAAGTAATCTTTTTCGATTCCGCTGCAAAGGTGCTAAGCTTTCGTCGAACTTTATCAGAGCAAGGTATCATCGTCACAACAAAATTCCAGTCAATGGGGAGTCAATGGGGAGATAGTGGCCATCAAACTTTGATGGCCGAAAACAGACGTTACTTTTGCTATCCTAATTACTTTGAGCCAGTACTATGGGTTTCGTGCATAAGCGGACACAAACAGGCACATACTCATATACAGACAGACACACTCACAGACTACGAAGTACTAAATCACTTTATACCTGATCAAAGAGGCCAGATATAGAGTATATATAAAGCTTTTTAGGGAATTGCCGGTGAGTTTTCTTGACTCGTTAGCTTGAATTTGGTTGTGACGATGATACCTTGCTATGATGATGTTCGACGAAAGCTTAGCACCTTTTCACCGGAATCGAAGGAGATTACCTCGAAAATAGCATCAGCATGAATTTTCTAGTATCGCCTTCGTTTTCTTATGGAAATGACCTTCGAATCTCTTCATCAAACACTTTCATTCGAAATGGAAGTAGGCACAACACTTATTCTAGTGAAGATCGCATTAAAGGAAGTGAATTCAGCTGAAGAGCTTGTTTAAATCGGCTAGATTGTTTCGATTTGAGGGAAATTAGAAATATTATTTCTTTATTGGTCATTTTCACGAGCTAAAAATAATCTAGTAGAGGACACAAGGTCTCCCTGACGCTAAGATCAAGCTGTGAAAGCAAGGTCGAACAACCACTATAAGGCTAGGAGAGACTGCGACCAAACAGAGGGTCACACCATCTTGATCTTCACATATACGATCTAAAAATACTTTTAATTGTTGCAAACATTATGGTATCATTCCCTAGTTCTGCAACCTAATGAAGAAGTGTCATTCGGACACAGTTACTGAAATACTTTACCACGCCTCCATCAATAAATTAGAGGAAAGTTATAAGACTCAGGGACGTAAGCTATTTAAGAGCATATACATTATGTCTAGATTTAGGAATAATCTAGGCAGAGTTCTCACTCCGAAGGATTTTCAAGTATTCCAGTAGTCACAAGGAGTCGGTGATTTGATAAATTAGTGGTATTACAAGAAATTGCTTAGGCAGCTATTTGTCCTTTATGGACTCTTATGCGTGGACCAAGCGCCTGACGATTGAGTGGACTAGAACTGGTCTGAGTTGATCTTCTCTTCAGTAAAAATGACCACAGCACAGGCCGGAAAAGTGAGTAGGATAAGATGGGATCCGAAAGAGTAGGACGCAAGTGACCCGGAGGTATGCAGCAGCACTTGTTGGGAGGATTTGTGGTATAGAAATTTCGCTGAATTACCGTCCGACCATTGGCTCAACACGTCGACTATCCTACAGGATTAGTACAGTGACTAGAGGGAAGGAGCAACTTCAAAAGCAGTAAAACAACCCTTTGATTGTCAAAATGAGTGGATAATAAATGCCCAACAGGAACTGGGGACTTTTGCTTTTTTGCTCCACTTACTTCAGTAGCCACGCCGTCTGCCTCACTAGAGGACTGTGTTCTTATTTCAGACATTTATTTGCATAAAACGAATAGTTCTTTTTTATGTCTAAGTACGATAAAACACCATTCCTAGAAAAAGGAATGGCAGTAAGCAGTTGCATTCACTTAATGTTGCTCCAAATTAGGCTCTCACAACACCTGGCGAGAGCTTTGGGCATGGTTCTCTCAACGTTCTATTCGGACGGATTGAGACCATACGATTGAGAATAGGCAAATGCACCCAAATTGGTTGAAGTCCACGCCTCAGACTGAGTCATTAAACGATCTATCAAATATAATTCAATCCGCCCGCGGGCTCGGATTCATCTTTATTCTTCTTCAAGCTTTGCATGAAGTCGTGTTGAAGACACGATGCCCATTTGCCTTCCTGGACGAGCCTTTCGTCTCATGGAATGGGTCCAACAACTGCTCCGCTGCAACAAACCACAAAGTCTTTTCTCATCCTGGCAGATCCCAACCCCTTCGCCAGTCACCAGCGGCGACGGTGCCCTCTTTCAGACGATGCAACAGCGAGCATACACACAAAAGAGGATTGATTTTTGAGGATTCTCATGTCTCACTCTTGATAGCCAACATCGAGTTCAAGTGGGTCCTCACCTCTTTTCAGTAGAAATGGAATTGGGCTAAACGATGAATGTTTTTTCTCCCTTGCCTTAACATCACCAACTCGTAAAGCTTCTTCTCCTAATCCCTAAACGGATTTTTCCTTTTGCCCCCAGCCACGTCAAAAGCGAGTGTCTATCCTGCGGCTCGGCATAGCCAGAAGCGCTGCGCCTACGGAGGATGCTCATGGAGAGTTCAATATGCTATAATGCCTTGGTTACCACCACTCTTGCCAGTAGTTTAGGCGACCCGACTTTCGGGTCGTGGCCACCGCTTCAAGTCTCGAAAAGAGGTCGGGCGCCCACAGGCTAGTTATAAACGGCCGACTCACGTCACGCTCTGGTGAATTGGAGCAACTTGGCTATAATGGACATGCAACTGGGCCTCTTCAGCACACACGAGCCTGCAGCTGTGCACTCTTGCGAATTCCTCTGTGTCTAGCTGTGTGCGTGTGAGTGTGCGTTTGCATGTGCATGCATGTATGTTGGCCATGTTAGGACGTAGAGCTAATTTGTGAAAACCAGCGGAAGCTGCGGTCATAACGAAATATTATTCTTGTCGTTGCCTCCTCGAGACGCATGCACTTGTTTGACTGATTATACATGGCCGGTTGACAAGAAAGCGAGATAGAAGGAGAGAGAGACAGAGAGAGACAGAGACACACACACACACAGAGAGAGAGAGAGAGAGGCATATTGCAAGGGACTGGTCAGACAAGGCGAAACCGAAAGAAAAAGTGAAGGCAAAAGATCAAGTCAACGGCATCTTGTGAAATACTTATCGAGTTGTGCAGATATTGTGGGGTCAGTGAGCCACAGCACCAAGGCATGACAGATCACTCGACCTGGTACCATGCCTAAAACGTGATTCAGTAGAAATGTTCGCTTTGTCAGGCCGAAGTTAATCAGAGACGTCGTTGTCACGAGCCAATCGTTTTGTGCTGTTCTATAAAAGCAGACACGCTGACCACGCACGAAACAATAGTTATCTTGCTTGTTCACTTAACCTCCTTTATTGTCTATCAAACATCTGTGCTTGAACGGACGAACCAGTGCTATCGCAGCAGCAGACCTCACGAACCTGCCATCCGGAAGGGGCATGGAGCCCTCCTCGAATGCGGACTCTAGCAACGAGTTCCAGTGTCCTTTGAGCTCGTCGAATGAGGCTCTGCGAAAGGCTTCAACTCTGGAGCGCAAGCGGTTCACGTGGCGGCTTTCGCTGAAGCCTCCGAGAGACGGCAAACGTGGGAGCACGAAGAAAACGGGTCAGTCGAAGGTGGGAGAGGAGAAGTCAGTGGACGAAAATGGCAGGGAAAATGACATAATCTCGTCACAAAGGGAAAAAAAGCGAAAAAATGTGTTCACTCGTCTCATCACCATCTGCCACCTCCGTCGCCTGGGCGCCAAAAGGAGACAACACTCCCGATGCGGCGGTCACACGAAGACTGGCTTCAAGAAGACGCTGGCCGAACGGACTAAACCAAGTGACCCTGTCTGGCAGCGCTCCAACTCACCCGAATTCCTGGAGCCCGAACTCGACAAGCCGATACCGATGAAGGAAGATCTGATCCAAGCGGCGAGCGCAGACTTCAACGAGTCCGCTCGTCTGGACTCAGTTCCGGAGGTGCGTGAAGTCGTCAACCCGCCAGCCGCGTCACCTTCAATTGCCTGCCCGGGCAGTGAACAAGCGAATCTGCGGCCGCGGCTCTCGGAGATCGGCGAGCAAGACGACGTGCCGTCAGAGCCACATGTCGACCATCCAACGGAGCCGGGCTCGAAACACACCTCCATCGCCATCGCTACCGCCAGGGCAGAATTCATCGGACCACTGTTGCATGAGACGGTCGAGCTATTCGACAGTGCACCACCGGACAGAGTGTCCGTGGAGCAATTGAAAGCCATGTTTGACGCAAAATTGAACTTTCCGGAAGAAACGCGCAGCTCCACCTCGTGGCCGGAGAACAGCAAACCGCTCATTCAGTCGGCTGAGTCTGAAATGCCCTCGACAGACTTCACACAGAAACCGGCCACGACGCATGACGCTTGCGTCGCCATGCCGACAAAGATGATTCTCACCACCATCTCGTTGCCAGCGTACAGCGCCTACTCACCCCTGTCGGGCATCACCTCGAAGCCGATCATGACTTCAGAACTGTCCAGCACGAGGACGATCACCAGCTCCATAATGACTGTCCCCAGTGCAGCCATCGCAGGTGTTGCCACGGCTGCAGTCGCTGTCGTCGCTAAGGCAGCCCTTTCCGACGACGAGACGAGCACACCCAGCGACCCGGAGTCACTTGTTCTTCCGATAGCCTTGGAGACGCCTCCGCAAGACCCGACGACAGCACCACCGCCCTACAGTCCGGCGACAGAAGATGCGCCAACTGATTCTCCCAAATCTGAACCAGTTTTTCCTGTCGGCGAGCCGGACTTTGCCCTTTTGAGCCAGCCTCTACCGATGGACGCGATTGTCGAGGCGGAGAGCACAGCCCAGCTTTCAATGCCGAATGAGGAAGAAACCGAACATCCTGTCATTCCGAGGGAAAATGTCATCCGGGAAGAATTGCCAGAAGGTAAGTGAACTTAACTGTACATCTATTTCGTCAGATTAGCAGATACCATTCTTTTTGTTGGCAGCCGTTTGATCCTATCTTCGCCACCTGACCCCGTTGTCAAGGCGACCAATGTGAATGTACCCCAGCCTAGAGTCCTCTGCCATACTGGCCATGATTACTTCCAGCTTTGCATAGTCGAGTTGGTACATTCTCACACGTTTCGCCGACATCGTCAGTCAGCCTTGTCCATCTCGTAAAATGCACGAGTCAACGTCCACTCCTTGATTAACCATCTCCTTCTGCCCATGTATCCACGGCTTGACTTTACGTGGTGATGGGAATGTACTAATGTCACACCACCCGCTGGCAATTGTCATGACTATTGTGGCAGATGAGTCCGGGCCAAAAGGAGGCTGCTATCAAAATACAGGCCACAGCCTTTTGGTACTCATAACTTAGATTCCTTTTTGTCGGACAGTCTGCTCGTTCGGCTGACAAATGAATGAGACAT